AGAGGTCTGCCGTATGACCCAAACAGCTCCAACACTGCCACATTGAAGATGAGGCTTCAACATGGGCTTTAGGGGGATAACGTACCCGAATTCTGCCAGGGCTCTTGTCAATGGCGCCGCATGAACATTCTTGTGCCTGACTTGGCTGTGCACCTCCAGAAGGGCTGCCACTGGCCAGGGACAGTCAGGACCAGCTACAGTGGACGGGACCACACGGTCCTCGGAAGGGCTTACCGATGCACGCTCCTGCCGGCCAGCGCGTTCCCGTTGCTCCACGTTCTCGCTAACGCCATTCTGGTGGGTGCTGGGATGTCAACCTGGGGTTTTATTTTGCATTTCTCTGATAACTAATGAAGATAAGTGCCTTTTGTACATTTACCGGGCGTGCACATTTCCTTTTTGGGGGTGTGAAGTAGCTGTCGAATCATTTGCCCATTTTTCTTTTTTATTTCCCTATCGGTTGTCTGTCCTTTTATCCATTTGTTGGCATTCTTTTAACATTTCAGATACTCGATCCTTGTCAGGTAGATATATGCAATGAAAAATATGTGTTCCCTCTCTGCAGATCACCTTTTTACTCCCTCATTAGTGCATTTTGAGGAACAGAATTATTGACGTTTGTACAGTCCAATTTATCATCCTTCCCCTAAAAGAAGCTGGTGCTCTGTTTTTCTACAAATAGATTTAAAAAAAAAAAAAAGATGACCTGTAAAGGGATCTTAACCCTTGACTTGGTGTTGTCGGCACCACGCTCTCCCGAGTGAGCCACGGGCCGGCCCTTAGACTTTATTTTTTAGAACAGTTTTACATACACAGGAAAATTGAGCAGACAGTACAAAGTTCCCATAACCACCCCCCAACACGCACAACACCTTGGATTACTGGGGTACATTTGTTAGCATTGATGAACCAGTATTGATACATTACCTTTAACTGAAGTTCGCAGTTCACATTAGGGTCTATTCTTTGTGTTACACATTCCATGGGTCTTGACAAGTGCATCATGTCCCGTGTGCACCTTTGCAGTATCCTGCAGAAGAGTGTCACTTCCCCAAGTGCCCAGTGTTCCACCTGCTCATCACTCCCTCCCCGCAACCCCTGGCAATGGCTGCTGAGTTTATGTCTCCACAGTTCTCCCTTTTCTAGAATGTCGTAGAGTTGGAATCATACAGTAGGGAGTCTTTTCTGTCACCTAGTAATACATGTTTAAGATTCCTCCACACCTTTTCACGGCTTGCAACTCACTGTTTCTTTTAGCACTGAAAGATATTCCACTGTCTGGATGGACCACGGTTTGTCATTCACCTCTTGAAGGACATCTTGGCTGCGTCCTGTTTTGGGCGATGGTGAACAAAACCACCATAAACACACATGTGCAGGTTTTGGTGTGGACGCGTTTTCAGCTCACCAAGGAGTGAGACTGCTGGAGGTATGGTAAGAGTACGTTTAGGGTTGGTTTCTTTTGTTTTGGGTGTTTTTTTGGCGACTGGCCAGTAGGGGATGTGTGTTTGGTTTCGTAACAAACTGCCGAGCTGACCTCCAGGGTGGTTACAGCACCTCGCATTCCACCTGCAAGGCTGAGACTTCCTGTGGCCCCGCCCCCTCGCCAGCACCCAGTGTCGTCAGTGTTCTGGATTTTGGCCATTCAAATAGGTGTGCAGTCTCACTGTTGTTTTTAATTTGCATTTCCCAACGACATATGAGGTGGCACATCTTTTCATACACTTATTTGCCACCTATAGTTCTTCTCTGGTGAGGTGTCTACTCGGAGGACCATTTGTCCATGTGTAAAATTGGGTTGTTTGTTTTCTTATTGTTAATCTTTAAGAGTTCGCTGTATATCTTGCATACAAGGCCTTTATCAGATGTGTGTTTTGCAAATATTTTCTTCCGGTGTGTGACTTTTCCTTTCATTCTCCTAGCAGTGTCTTCTGGAGGTTTGATGTGTGGGCGTGTGACCTATTTAAACAACAAATTCTTGCTGAGTCCAAGATCATGAAGAGGATTTCCTTTGTCTTTTTTCCCCTTAAAGGATTCACCGTTTAACATGTATCTCTAATCCATCAGGATTGTTGCATATGGTGTGAGGGAGGGATCAAGACCCTTCAATCCAATTGCCTGGCACCCTGTATTGAGAAGAGCATCCTTTCCCCAGGGCAGACACTGCGTCTGTGTCAGATTCCGCCCTCCTTCCCCCCTTCTACTTGTCTATCTCTGTGTCAACACCCCAGTGTCTTCATTACTGAGTATAATAGGCTTTCTCTCTCAAACTTCACCCCCACTTTTTACTGAAACAGCTGTGGTCCAGGTTGTATTGCAAAACCCCACAGTTAATGCTCGCTCCTGCCTTCCACCCAGTCCAGAGGCAGCTGACACACAGGCCACACCCTCCTTGAGCTGCTTTCTTCCTTCCTGTCCCCTGTGGCTCTTTCTCTATCTCCTTTGCTGGTTCCCCCTTGATTCTCTAGCCTCCCAAAGCTAGGAGGCCCCAGGGCTCAATCCTCAGACTTCTGTTCTCTATCTACCTACCCTCGGCCTGATTGCATCCAGTCTTATTATTTTAATACCTTCGAGTGCAGTGACCCTCAAGTCTCTCTCACTGGGACCTCTCCCCTGCACTCCCAACTCAAACAGCTGCTGCCACACGACAGGACACTGTGTGTTCCATAGACATGATCTCAGCCCCACACGTCCAAAATTAAGCTCTTGCTTTTTCTGCTGCACCATGCCATCCTTCCAGCCATTTTGGGTAGAGCCCCGGCATATCACCCTCTGCCTGATCCATCAGGTAATCTCGCTGGGCCAACTATAAAAGTGCGTCTGGAATCTACCTCTTTCTCACTGCCCCCTTGGCCACTGCCCTGGCCCAGGCCACCACTGCCTTCCACCTGAGTGGTGGCCCCGGCAGCTAGACGTCTGTGTGACCTGGCAAGACTGCTCCTCTCTGACCTCTGACCTCTTCCTCTCACTCACCCCCAGGCCAGACCTGCTCCCCTGTTGTCTCTGCTCCTGCTATCCTGGTGTCAGTGGCTCCTGCCCAGTTCTCTAACCTGTCACCTCCTTAACCTCTGCTCTGACCCAGCTTCTCTGATTGCACATCCTCCTCTCTGCTGCTCCTCTACCCTTCCCTGCACAGATCTCCTCAGCACCAGCCTCCAACGTCCTGTGTGAGCCACCTGCTCCATTTTATGTCTGTCCCTTGTCTAGAACACACACTCCACC